CGCCATCCTCGGATGCCAGTCTCGTTTGTGCGCATCCCGAGTCTTATCAGGGGAGGGCCCCTCACTTCGCTCGGGTGCAAATGCCAAAATGGGCGAAAGTTGCCCTGTTGACATTGCTAATCTAGCAGTGGTCATGACACCTATAGGTAGGCACGACAAGAAATGTCTGTGCTTCTAGACGATAACACTATAGTGTTGTCAGCAGCGTCGACCCATGACCGACCTCTTGGGGGTGTCACAGGAGGGTAGGATCGAAAAGAGTGAGCGAAGATCAGCGCTTCGTGGATGAGCGATTAACCATCACACGTAAAGTCCGTGACGCAATGGCAAGCGTACAGGACAAGCAAAAACAATATGCGGACCAACATGGTCGCAAAAACAATGAACACTTCAGTGTGGGGGACAAATTGCTATCAAGTACTGCTACCCTACCTAAAAATGCAATTTCTGTACTACCTGGTGGTACTACTAAGCTATCGCTCCGATTCATTGGGCCATTTACGGTGGTCGAGGAGGTTGGATACCTAAGGTGTAGGCTCACTCTCCCACCGTATATGAAGACGCACCCCGTGTTTTACGTGGGTTGTCTGAAACGATATGTTGATCCAGAAGAGATCACATATCCACATCTGTCTAACGAGACCGATGGTGACGTCGACTGTGAATCGAGAGTCGTTGTCGATCGGGCGACGGGGAATCCAAAAGGACTTCTCGTTTATGAGTGAGGCGATAGAGGACTCTGTGATCTAGGAGGACCCCGCGTTTGACGCGGGTCTCTCATCGCCAGTCGCTCACGTATGTTCAAACGCGTCTTCAGTCGGTCATACCCCTGATGATTCTTCGTCCTCACATCTCGTAAATCCAAAGTCAGTCGCGAGACTTCACTCGAAAGATCTGCCACCTCTTTCTTCAGCGCAGCGATCTCCGCCTGCGACTAGACGACAAAAGGATAAGCAGCTGCGAGTAGGTGGGAGTAGTCGCCGCTCCTATCGAGCGCCACCTGTGTTAGTGGATGCGGGTGGAAACACACGCTTTGTGGCGGAAAGGTTGTTGGCCCACTTCCATGTGAAGTAAAAGCTTCATGTCCTTGTCCAATGGAAAGGATACCCGAAGTGTTTGGATCTTGGAAGCCGGGTGACGCGTTGCGCGTCGACGTGCCAGGGTTGGTGATTACTTACGAGCAGAATCAATAGATGCACTTGCTTTATTAGTCCTGATGGACTAGCAGGGGTGGCGTGACGTGAAGGAGTTGGAGGTATGTTAACACCCAATATTTCCCTCGCACGCGTCATAGCGTAGCTTTTCCGCTGGAGCCGCTGTTTCACTGCATCTGCATGCGGTTTAACAAGGCGCAGGAACTCTCCCTCGTATTCGTCGGTTGTTCCAACCAAACCCAACACGACGGGGATAGGGAAAGAACAGCCTCGTGCTTTGCCCTGTCTTTTACATCATGGAAAGACGCTAAAAAGTTTATATATAGCGTCAATAGTGGCACGCTCTAACAGCGTCACACTATTACTACTCAAGCGTGACAACTCGGAGGGCGGTGGCATTGGTGACAAACCCCCACATACGTAGCCGCCCTCGCGACGGCGTGCTAGTGAGCCCGACTGTGAAATCGAAGAGGCTTTCAGCTCACCCTCGACTGAGTCTGACTCTCTCTAATGGATTTTCAAGACTGCAGGCGTAGGGTAACAGAGGAGGAAGATTTCGAATCGACGACTTGCTGTTGAGTCGCGGCTGTTTCTTTCGAAGCAGCACGCTCAGTTGTGGTCGCTGCGCTCGTTGACGCAGACTACAAGGCATGACCCACGCTGTCAGGAAGCATGGAAGCTTCCTGAAGGTTGAGTGCTTCAAGTAATGAGGAAATATGTCCCATCAAAGGGCTGTTCTTATCACCACTTTGGGGTGATGACAATGGCGTGCTCTCATTGTAGTCAGCAATGATATGCAGGTCATCATACGCACTATAGTGGGATGGATTAGTGTCCTCTGCTGACAAGCTGACACCAGATGTTGGAGTTGTCACAGAGACACTTAGCGACGGCTGCGAGCTATCGTGGCGCGTACGCTTTGTATTGGTCTACATGGGCGCCTTTGCATCAGCCTTACAACGTTTCGGTGGCATCTTCTTGTTTTCGATGGTTAACAAAATGTAAAAATCGTCTTAAAGAGGGAGATGGTGTAACGGGCTACTAGTTAGACGAGTGCGTTATGTATATGATACTTAACGGTCAGGTATAAAAGGATACGTACCTCTCACTTGAGTGCGACACATCAGTGTGACCCACCTCGTGAATGTGATATCCATGGATGAATTCAAATTCAGCGGGGATGACGCCAGTTGAGACTAGGCGTCACGGTGACGCTTCAGACGGACGTTATCAGCGAGCTTAATTGTATATAAAGCTCGCACGTAAGGATACACCTGTAAAGAGATGCGTATCCGACATTACATTTTAACAATCAGTAGTTAGAGTTATATTTAAGTATTGTCAATTAAATATAACTCAGTCTTGAATTTACTACATCACACTTACTACGCACGAGAAGCTTAATAAGCTTCTGCGTGACGTAAGTGAGACACTTGTCTTTGAAGTTCGTTGCGCTCTCAATTAAGCGATAGGTAACGGTTATTACTGCGCAGTAGCATCGACCAACATCCCCACCACCGCACGCGGAGATAAGACGGTCTAACCTTCGCGTGCGAGGGTGGATGTGTGGTTGGTACGACTGCTTAAGCAGTCGTACCAACCGTTGTCTCTCGCTTAAGCGAGAGCGCAACGGATAAATAACAAGTGTCCTACTTGCGTCACGCAGAAGCTTACTTAGCTTCTCGTGCGCAGTAGGCAGTATGTAGTAAATTCAAGACTGAGTTATATGTAATGAATTATAATTAGATATAAACTTAACTACTGATTGGCTAGTTATGTAAAGATCGGATACACGACTCTTTAGAAGCGTATTCTGACGTGTGAGCTTAAATGTAGAAATAAGCTCGCTAATGACGTCCTTCTGGGACGTACCTAGCTTCAACTAGCATCATCCCTTCCCATGTAAATTTATCAATGGATTTCACATTCATGAGGGTGGATCACATTTGTGTATCGCACCCAAGTGACAGGTCAAAAGTAGTCATGGATACTTTTAGCCTTACATTAAGTATACTACTTGATGTTTACGTGTAACTAGATACCCTGTTACAAAATAAGTGATGGGTGCGGGAAAGATTTTCCGTAGGTGCAGAATTTTTTTCCGTAGGTGCGGGTTATACTTTCTCCTCTTTTTTATATAATTCCCAAACCGAAAGGGGTGTGAATATAAGGAAAAAGGGTGTGAAAATAGCAATTTCCTAGATATATTCTCGTGCCTCAACATATGGTGTTTAGGTACCCATGTCCGTCAAAAGGGGCTTTTGCTTCTAGCAGCGAAATCGGCAGTTGTTAGGAGAAGTTTCTAGCATCGTTGTCGGAGACGCAAGCGGTGCTAATGAAAAACTGACCTAAATTATTATTTCCTCGAACCATTAGCAAAGTTGGCACCTTAAACTTGGAATCTGGTCAGTTCCGACAGCAGCCGCACACTAATCACTATGCATTCACAGTTGCTCAGGGAAACCGCAACCGGTCTGATCGTGGCGAGCTTTGCGGAATGCGAGTTAAGCTTTAGATTGTTGACTGGTGAAATTTTCTTAAGCAACAGCAGCCTTGTGTTGTGCCCGAAAATTTGTACAATGGGAGTAGAGCGGATCGAAAGTAACAAAGTTTTAGTGAGACTATTAACAAGAAAAACCGCATGATTTTTTCATGCTAAGCTTCCGTCGCCCCACCTCGTAAAGAGTAGAAACGGAGTTTTCCACCACAACTGCCACAATACCAGAGCCAACGATTCCCAAAGAAGACTGATCGTGTTTCGACGAGCAGTATCAGCAGCCTGGCTAGAGTTTGGTCGACTGATCCGGTTCTGCTACCCCACCATCGCGAAAGGCGCAAGACTTTAACGGTCTGAAAGTAGTGGCCTGCTTCGAAGACGACGAAGGCAAGACCGGAGTTCTAATGCAGATACCGTTCGTAGCGAGCGTTTATGTACACATACGCTGTCATTGTATTGCTGGAGTCACGGTACTCGTTAGCCCTTTCCGTGCTTGTTTTTGAGTCGCTATTATACAAGCGAAGTAATGAGATACGGATGCCAATTGACATGACTATACAGCAGATGATCAAATTTACGTTAACACGCTCGCATGAACGAATCGCCCTTTAGAGCCAACAACAAACGTATGATTTAGCTTGAACATATATACTATCTCACACCGTTTATCCGTGCTGCACAGCGCTGCGGCGGCTGCATTTACATTGCTGGTCAGACCATTTTAAAACGTTTCTACTTCTTCATGCCGGCCCACTGTAGACCGCTTCGTGTCTAGTTATTAACACGAACCTTATCTAGACGCAGGTACCGTTCTGGTCGCATAGGAAATTTTCAAGATGAACCGGCTTTCTTGCGCAGGTCATTACGAACCGTCGATGTCGCACGGATTCGATTAGGCGATCTGCTTTTTTGGGGGCTGGTGTAGGAATCGGCAACTGCAGGAAGCCACGCACAGATGTTGTACTGTGGTCAGTTTGTTACTGAAATCGTAGATTGTTATTTGCTTGTTGATTCGGCACAAATAACTAAATATTATGATAATTGAATGTAATTACGGTAACTGAAGCGTTTAAAATTGACTGGTCAGCCCATCGTACGCACAGCATATGGCTTGCTGCTAGCAGACGGCATCTTGATGGATGGGGAGCATCAGGATCGTGCATCAGCGAGAATAATATGTAGTAGACTATGGTACGAGATGATCTTAAGATGGGGTCTGCTCCGGATATAATTATACGAAGATGCAATCTCGAATGGTGCTCGGGAGTCTAGCAACCTTTCTCTCTACTGTTCATTATTCAATTTGCTCAGTTTAGCAGAACACAGTCGCCTCAAGAACTAAAAAGAAGATGAAAGTATTCACAGGACTTCTCGTCGTAGCCCTCGCAGTTACATCCTCATACGCGGAGAAATCAAAGAACCTTCGTGCCTCAGCAATTGAGGAAGATGATACCGCAATTGAGGATTCGCAAGACTCCGAAATAAGTGAAGAAGAATTGATTGTCAACGCGGCCGACTTTACTGGGTCCGGGGGAAAACTCAATATTATGGATGTGATCGGCGAGGAAAAAGGGAAAGTCCCGATGATGTCGATCTTTAAGGCCTATTTTAGTTCATCTATTAAAGACGTTGAAGATGATGACTCGGCAGAGAACCATAAGAAACATCCCAAGCAAAACGCGAAACTTGATGACGATGAAGATGATGACGATGACAATAAAACGAAAAGCAAAATCGACGACGTGAATCTAACGGACGACAATCCTACTAAAGACAATAAGGCGGCCGACTCTGGTAACAATGAATTTTCGTGGAAGTCTAGCAAATCATCGAAAAATAAGGGAGATTTAGATGACAATGATCTGGAAGACTCTAACGAACTGGATGATACAAATGGCCAGGTCAATACTAAAGTTGGAGGCATTGGTGAGACTTCGCTAGGGGGTGGAAAAGACGTGAACGTCAAGGGATCCTCCCCTATCGACGACTCGAACGACCTTTTTAACGGCACGAACGTTAAAAAAGGTAAGAGTGACCTTCTAGGTGAAGGTACTGGCGGGGGCTTGCAAGGTTCTGATTTATTCAAAAGCGACAAGAAAGTCAAGGATCCCCTAAGTGACGAAAATCAGAAAGAAGCTATCGGAACGAACTTCAAGGGTGGCCAGGTCGATACTAAAGTTGGAGGCACTGGTGAGACTTCGCTAGGGGGTGGAAAAGACGTGAACGTCAAGGAATCTTTCCTTGAAGACGATCCGGACGACTCGAATGTTAAGGAAGGCAAGTCCGACTCGAATGAGTCAAATGGCCTGAACAGTAAGGGCAAGAAATTCATGAGTGATGAAGAGAATGTGAACCAGGACATGCTGCAGGTGGAAAATGAGGACGATGACGACGATGACGACACCAAACCTCTCAAGAAGACGGCCCCCTAAGGTTAAGGGTCCATTGTAAGGTACATTGTGTCTGGACATAATGCACTTTGGCACTCAGTGACATGATGGAGACATTTTCAGCTATCAGGACAGAGTTGAAGTCAATGCGTATAACATAAGAAACCATTTCAAAAGTGTGTCTTTTTCTCGATTGTTCACTTGTAGCATTGAAATCTCTTACTGTCTAACCCAGACATTCCTTTTAGATTAATATCATATGAATAACGCCTGATTCATTTTTCTGATTCGTATGCCCAGGGCTGATTCATGATTCAGATTCATGATTTATGAATCAAATATACGGTATGTTAAGTGAATGATAAATTGATACAAAACTACTATTTAAAATGGACGAATCCGGTTAGCAATGACACTTTTGTACCTAATAGTTATTTTACAGAGCATAGTGCTTCCTTAAGATAAAATAAACCTTTTCATGGTTTAAACTTGTTTTAAATAAATCATTTGCTCATGGTTAAAAGTATGGTGTGGTGATCAAAGGCTTATGTCAATATATCATATCATTTATAAAATACAAATCTAAATTACGCGATTATTTAAATTATATTTAGATGGAAGGCTAGTCTAATACCAGCCGCCTAACAATGAAGTGTTACTTCAGACGCGCTTCTTTGGAGCACGACAGGCAAAAAGATCGCTGCAAGAGTATGTGCAAGATATACGTTCGTTGTCGGCGACCGATACCGGAACACATTAAGGTGCCCACGTTCATGAATGGATTAAGACACGGCCCATCGCGTCAGGCCTTTTCGTAAAGGTTCCAAGACTACGGAGGAGGCAATTGACTTTGCCTTAGTGAGGAACAATTCTACAGTAGTACCTCGGCAACAGCTTAATATAATCCGTCAGTCAAGAAGCCGGATGCCACTCCAATGGAGTTAGGCAATGCAAACGTAGTTTGCTACGAGTGTGGCAATAGCGACCATATGGTGGCTTGCTGCTGGTGCTAAGGCATCCGGCACAACTCCGTATGTTTTTTGGGCGTGGTCCAAGAACAGATTGACGACACCTTCTCTAAATTAGATTGAACTACCGATTAATTACATTACAACTCAGCACCGGAATCTCCGGTGCACAAAAGATACTATTTTATGTATTCACATACAAATTGTTGTCTAGAAAATTAAAAGGCTCCCTATTCGAAGGGAGGTGCGAAGAATCAACTTGCACGACGCACTGGCTCAGCACCTGCCCAAGATGTGTCGAAAAAAATGTAGGAGCGCAGTAGGGGCGGGATGCCCTACTGTCGCGGACTATGAAGCTACTCTTAAGTTCAGATCGAACAAATGGGCAGCATAGTCCCTGAGGTACCGAAAGGTCGGACCTCAAGCCTTTTGGTCTATAGCGCTCGAGTACGAGGCTAGCTGACCAAGTGATGGCCGTTTTCGTTTATTCGGGTGCATCACAGAATGTTGTGAAACACGCGGCTGTGGTGAAGTGCCAGGAAAAGTTGGGGTTTGAGGGAAATGGAACAGAGAGAAAGAGAATTTTGGTCACTTCCCCGAGGGCGTGACTACGACCCGGCCTCGCGGATTTACACCACACACCAGGCCCCGCCTTATTAAGAATATAAGGACCCAGACGTGCGGAGTCAGCACAGTCCCCAGGTCCTGTAAACAGGTTCCAGAGGCCCAGGGGTACCAGGGCTCAATGTCCGAGGGTGCAGAAACGGTCCACAGAATATCGAAGATTACAGAAAGTACAGGTGACAAGGAGCCAGTTCTTCTTCCAAGAGTCGGCACGGGCACTATCTAGATCAAAGGGTTAAGGTTAGGCAAGAAAAGCATACAGAGAATAAGGTAAATAAACACACTCGAATTTGCATTACACGTGGCAGCTCCAAGCGCGTCCTTCAAGCTTCTCCGTCCCCTCACCTATTCCGGGCGGGATACCCTTTGGCCTACCGACGTCAGGTGAGGTTACGGCTCAAGCAACGCAAGTTGAACCTCATGATAGTTGGCCTGAGGTGTCAAGTTAGTGTCAAGACTCAAGTGCGAGCTTGTTTCGATCTACCCACCTGTTCCGGGGAAGGAGTTTATCTTGGCCCACTCGTTGAAGACAGACGTGTGGTAAGATTCAAGCTCGAACGAACCCCAGGGAGTTTTTGGCCTGTGGGTTCGTGCCCATTCTACGACCCGCTATAGGAAGCGGTTTCCCTACGGGGAACAAGAAAAGGGGTCGAAAGACCAAGAAACCGTTAGCGACCGAAGGGGTACATAGTACCAGGTGCACTGCTCACGACCCAGTCGATTGAGCCCAAGAAACCCTGGGCCCGAGTGAAGCATAATCCACTCGTGGACCCCAAGTCCCTCCATACAAGACCAAGTCTTTAACTTTTCTGCGTCTAACGAGGAGCAAGACCAGCCAAGCCGACGGGTACACAAGGTGAGACCCAAGGTTGATGCGACACGGTATCGGAGTACCCCGTCCGTAAGTCGGCAGTCCGGCGCTGTGTGAGTTTGTGCTTCTCTCACGCCGTTTGAGAATCCACATCACCAAACGGCTCTTAAAAAGGGTTCGGCGAGTTATGAGTCGCTTTGCCGGGATGGCAAGCGAGAAGAGGCGACCGTTCGTTTAGCGAACGTCGCCCTCGTTAAATCGGAGGGAGTTCAAGTTGAACTCGCCTTCAATTTCAGTGACTTCTCTTGTAAAGAGTAGTTCACAGTGCTAGGTATGGAGAGTCCGTATGACCTCATCCTAGGCATGCCTTGGTTGGCTACACATCAACCATGGATTGACTGGCGTACACGCACAGCCGCTAATTCTACGCAGTACACCGGAAAGGATGTGCTCCTGCGAGAGGCTTATGCGATTGATGCTGTGTCCAACACAGTCGAGGGTGCGATGGCGGTATGTCAATCGGCACCAGATACTACCCAGCTTTTTGAGCCTGAAGAGCTTTTTTATGTCGTGACTGAAAGTCAGATGACACAAATTCCTACCCAGATCGATGAGACTGGTGTCGTGAATGGGACGATGGCAGGTAGTCATGCGTCCAATGGTCCTGGACAGAGTAGAGAGCCTGTGGCAGTTTCTGGTGGAATGACAGGAAGTCAAGCTGCACAAGAACCGACACAGACCCCATGAGCCTGGTGCTGTTGAAAGGAGTGCGTTGGCTATAATAGCAACGACACCTTCTTCCATTACAAAAGTCGTGGTGACTCGAACAACGATCACCAGACGTATTAAGACGATTAAGATCACGTCGAAACAAGTGACTTTTGGTTCAGTCTCGGTCCAAGAGGACGGACCTACGAACGAGTTGCTCGAGGCCGTCGAAGACAAGATTCCGGAGGCATCCTCAGTTGAGGTGCTCCGATTTGTCCTGGTATCTGCCGTGGAGATAGCAAATTTCTCGGAGATGACGTGGGATCTGTTCCTCTCCGAACTAAAGGAAGGAAAGATCCACGAGATAGTCGCACCAAATCCAGAAGAGAACGTGGTGAACTGTTGCTTGTCGTCCACAACGGACGAGAGCGTCTTGGAAACCGACAAGAAGAAATGTTTCGTTGCCCAAGGCTGGGAAGCCTTAAAGGAAAGCCCGTTCGATGATGTTCTGTGGAAACACCGTGACGTGTTTTCAGCAAAGTGCCGAGCCGCCTACCGGCCGATAGGGACATCAGGCACGAGTTTGACCTAGAGCCTGCCCCAAAGTATTGTGTGACCAGGCAATGGCCGTTGCTTAAGGAACAAGTCAAATATATCGATGAGTTCTTCGACAAGCGAGCCAAGGTGGGAGAGAAAGTCGCCCTACTGCAGCCCGGCCTTCTGTGTGCGTATAGCAACAGGTGAATGGCGAGTGGCTAATGCTTATAATAAGCTGAACACGGCCACCACTCCGGCGCAAACGCCGATACCGCGAAAAGATATATTTTTGAACTTAATGAGAAAGTCAACTATCTATTCCGCGTTGGATTCGAAGGATGGCTACTATCAAGTTCTCATGACAGATATCAATGTAGCCAAAACGGCAGCATGAACCCCAAGCGATATACTGTGGGAGTGGTTTGGGATGCCACAAGGGTTGAAAACGCTCCAGCAACATTCCACCGAGTGGTGGCTCACGTGATGCGTCAGCGCCGTGCCTACGCGCCCCATTGCTTTGACGATGTATTCGTGCATAATAGAAAGGAGGACTGTATAAGCACAATAGAGTCGCACAAGCGTCATTTAGACGCTGTGTTGCATCCTCTGGGTGACGCCTAATTATACGTTAGCTTGCAAATGTGCGTAATGTTGGTCCCCGAGATACCTGTACTGGGCTTCATCGTAGGTACACATGGTGTACGAGCAGACCCAGAAAAGGTAAAGGCTGTAAAGGAAAGGCCAGTCCCACGACAAGTGAAGGATCTGCGCCAATTCCTTGGGCTCGTTAATTACTTGCATAAGCACAGCAAGAATTATGCGGAGCGGACTAAGCCATTCTATGACTTTATACAAAAGATGCAGAATGGACTTGGTCAAAGGAGCAAGAAGATGCGCTCTGTAATGGGGCAACCTATTACATAAGTATTTATAGGAATAATACATAATCACATAAGAAGGCATAGGGCAGTATCCGATTAGCGGATACTGCGCGTCATTTTCTTATTGATTTATTATTGGGGTGCCAGACCTAATAACTAGCCAATAATAAATTGACTTCCATATTGAGTGAATCCCATGAGCTAGGGAACAAATTCGCACTTAATGTGAATTAAAACAAAGCAAAAGATAAAACAGAGTTATATTTACGAGTTAATTAGGAGCGCTTCCTCAACGCCTTTTTAGTGTAAGACAGTAACGGGTCCTTAGACCGTTACATGTTCACTTCAGTGAAGCAATCTCTTGTAGAGGCACCGGTCTTGGCATTTCCATACGCGGATAAGCCCTTTACTGTCGTCTGCGATGCAAGAATTTTGCAAGCGGCAGTGCGCTCATGCAAAAGGATGACAACGGCGTTGACCGTGTCATATCTTATCAGTCTCGTCTTTTAAAAG